TCCTGCTGACTCTGTAGCAACAAGATACATATCAATTCTTGGATCATGCTAACTACTATAAGAACCAGCTTACAAAAAGCCTTTTCTAAGCTGAGGTTTTAAGTCAGTTTTCAAGACTGAAAAATCAGATTAATTTCAGTGCTGCCTTAAACAGGTGACAGGCATATGGGAAGTCAAAGTAGCATTCTGCTCACACTTGTTTTGTGCAGTGTAACAGTCATTTTCATTATCTTCTATGTGATGATTTGAACAGATTTTCGGTCCAAGGAGCATCATGATGCAAAGAGTTTTGAAAAGCAAAATATGTATTCCCTGTTAAGATCAACTAACTTGTACAACATGTATGTAATGAATAAAATTATTCTGTTCTTTTACTTCCCCTCCCCCCTCCCCAGGTATAATAATCCAGAGAAGCTTCTGGAAACCAGACGTGGACGTTGTGGCGAGTGGGCTAACTGTTTTACACTGTGTTGCAGAGCTATAGGGTTTGAAGCTAGATATGTCTGGGACGTTACAGGTATCAGTTATTCTAGAATATCTTAATAGTCATACAAACATATAGCCTCACTTCACATATTTTTATGATTCTAAGGTTATAATAGCCAGCAGACAGCATCTAAGGTTGCCTAGTTGGCCTAATGAAGGAAATAAACTCAATTTCCACTCTTGCCTGATGAGATAAAATATGAAAGTAAGGTTGGAGAGTAAGGTTAGAAAGTAAGATTAGGTGCAACTAAATATTGCACCATTTCAGAATGGTGCAATATTTAGTTGAGTCTAAGGGAACATGATCCTAAGATGGAAAGAGAAAGCTCTAATAACTTCTCTGAATGTAGATGAACAGAAAATATGTTCTTTTAAGTTACAGAACTTGGGGCTGTTAGAAGAGAGACTCTGTCCCTATAATTCATTGCTTCCTCTTGGACTTCGTTATATAGATCATGTGTGGACTGAGGTATATTCTGCATCTCAAAAAAGATGGCTTCACTGTGATCCCTGTGAAAATGTCTGTGATAAACCTCTTATCTATGAAACTGGGTGGGGAAAGAAGCTCTCCTACATATTTGCTTTCTCCAAAGATGAGGTAGGAGTAATGATGTTTGCCCTGAAGCATGAGTATGAAATATTCTATGTTAATGTGATTTCCAGAATTGTTAGAGGGAAAAAAAACTTTTTTTGGTTAGGTAGCCTCTTTAAAGAAAATAATATGTATAGGATTTTTTGATTGCTTTATTTTCTTCCACTTGTGCTTGAGGTGGTTGATGTCACCTGGAGATACAGCTGTAAGCATGAAGAAGTACTCTCTAGAAGGACAGTGGTCAGTGAAGCTACGCTACGGGAGACAATTAACACACTTAATAGAACGGTATGTAGCTTTTCTTAAACAGATTTCTTTAAGTGAAACGTAGATGTTTTTCCGGTATGTGAAATCTTTGAACAAGAGAATGTGTTGTGTAACCTGATGGAAATGTCCATGGGCTATGGAATGCAAAAATATCTCTAGCTGTACAGGTCTCGTCTTACACAGAGTAAATGAAGGATCAGTCACAGTGTTGAACTTAAATAAAATGTGTGAAAAAGTGTGAAATAAAAATAGTATGCAAGAGGATTAACATACTATCTCTTAACACGGTCAATTGTATCTTCTATTTCACTCTTTTTCTTTTTAGCCCTAATGAATTTGTAGTGTTCTTAACAGCTCTTGTGCATTCACAGACATGCAGTAAACTACAAGGAGTCTGCATAGGTACAAAGCACTTGAAAGCAGCTGAGCATTGCCCACATCAGTAATGTTGCAACTCAAAAACAGTAACATTATATATATATATATTTATATATACACACTCACATACATATATATGTGTACGAAATGTAGGACTAACTTGTCTTCTGTGACTTTTTACAAGTAAGAAGTGAGAGGTAATGATTCACAGGCTGCTTGAAGCACTTTCAAGAAGTGCTAATGCTGTCAGTAGAGCTTGGCTCAGACCCCATATCCTGTTCATGTCTAGTGTCCCCGAACAACACGTGGAACCATTTTCACCTGTATGTCATAATCTACCAGTGGTGCAGAACCTGAGTGCACTCAGCAGCTCTCTGCTAAAAGAAGCTTTTTCTATCCCATGTTTGGGGCAGGCTGAACTTTTTTGGACTGAATGTACTGGAATCCTATAAAACCTGGAAGCACTTGTCTGGTTCCTTTTTGTCCCCCCTTCCTTCTAGGGCTAGGATTTGTGCTCTTCTATGTATATCTATGCATAGAAACTTTTGGTTCCTATGATAGCATGCAGCGAATGGATTAATAAAAAAGCTACGCCTTTTTAGAGGCCTGCTAGCTTACAGAGACTGGGTTACAGGCACGTGCTGAAAAGAGTGGGCAGAGTTGAGCTAGAGTCACGATCTCAGCCCCTGACCCCAAACCTTCTTTCATCAGGAATAGAAGTTAAAGAGCTGCGCAGAAGAGAGAGGAGCACTGGGAAAGTTCTATTTTGCTACTCTGTAGTCAAGTTCTGATCCTTTGTCTCCTTTTAGTTGACCAGTGCAGGCACTTTATGCAGGGTTGCAGTTCCTTCTGGCCTACACAACTGATCTGAGACGGCTTTCTTTTGGTCTGCTGGAGTTGGCAACCTCCAATACTGGACTCTTTTCCTCCACTAGCCTTCCCTAGGAAGAGAGCCTTGGAGATGGTTGCCATTTCAAGATTGAACATTGTGTGTATGGGAGGGGAGGGGCCTTTATTGGAAAGTTATGATAATATTGATGGAATCAAGGAAAGTAAATGCACCTGATGCAGGGGCTGAACTTCCTCCTCTCCCACCTTGATGATGTCACCATAAGATCATGCTCTGTTTCACTTCTAGAATTCTAAACAACTCCAGTGAATTACCACCTTTTCAAACTCTGAATTGGCAGCAATGGATGGTGCTGTGCATTGGGCTCTTAATCTGTTTCTTACTTCTCCCCACCTGTCTTTAGAACACTGTGCAACTCATGAGCTGACACAAGCACCTCTCAAACAGAAAAAGCAGGCATTCTGGTCATGTTTTAAACCAAAATTTCATTTAAAAAAAAAAAAGAGTACAGGAAAGAAAGATAGGTGTATGCTTCCCAATAAAACACCTTTTCAGCCTCCTTAAAGGACAGGGGGTGGTTTTGTTATGTTGTTTTGGAGGAACAGATTTCTACAGACTGAATGGTACTTAAACCCTCTTCCCGCTCTCATGCGCTTCCTTTTGCCAGGTAGCAGTTCAGCCTACGTTTGACATGGTCAACTTATTTGACCTGTGTAGGTTGCTGCTCTTGCTTTTTCTTTTGCCTGTTAGAGTTGGAATGGGGTTTCAGGGATTTGTTTACTATCAGCTTGCTCACAATGTAGTTTCCTTCTTATTGTCCTACTGCTAGTCCAAGCAAGTATCTTTTGATGCAGAGCCCCTACGCACGGTCTTTCAAGTCTCAGTTCTAGGTTGCAACTAAATATAAGGGTAAGGGCTAGTATGCATTCTCACCTACCCCACAATATTAGTGAAAACTGAATCTAAGGGGTCATTATTAGAGGAAACAAACCACTGGCCAGTGGCTTGCAGTCGTTGTCTTTGTGACCCTTTGCTGGACTTGCTCCAGTAAATCAATGCCCAACTAAAACATGTTGTGTGCCCCTCATGGATAAATGGAGAAGTGTGGGGCAAGGGTAACAATATATTCAATATGCTATTTCGCTTCTGAGAAATACTATCCCTGTTTTATTTGCGTTAGGTGTTCCTAAAGGAGCGTTCAGGCTGCTGCTGATAACTGGTGTTACTCACTTTATAGTATCCTATCACACCTTGACTACAAAGCCTATTTTTATCTATTTTTATGTGGGCACTGCCTTTATTTCACAGAATAGTTGGGGTTGGAAGGGACCTCTGGAGATCATCAGATCTAACTCCTATGCTCAAGCAGGGTCAGCTAAAGCAATTTGCCCAGGATAATGTCCAGTCAGGTTTTGGATACCTGCAACGATGGAGACTCCATAGCCTCTCTGGACTGCCTGTTCTAGCGCTCAGTCACTCTCACAGAGAAAAGTGTTTTCTTATGTTCAGCTGGATTTTCTGTGTTTCAGTTTCTGCCCGTTGCCTCTCTGCCTGTGACTGGGCACCACCGAGAAAAGTCTGACCCTATCTTCTTTACACCCTCCCTTCAGATATTTATGCACGTTGTTCAGATCCACACCCCCCCACCCCCAGGCCTTCTCTTCTTCAGGCTGAACAGTCCCAGTTCTTTCAGCCTTTCCTTGTATGAGAGGTGCTCTAGTCCCTTAATTGTCTTTGTGACCCTTTGCTGGACTCATGCCACTAAATGTGTCTTGTAGTGGGGAGCCCAAAACTGGAAACAGTACTCTAGATGTGGCCTCACCAATGCTGAGTAGAAGGGACCTGCTAGTGACACACCTCATAATGCAGCCCAGGATACTGTTGGCCTTCTTTGCCTCAAGGGTGCATTGCTGGCCCATGTTCAGCTTATTTTTCACCGGGATCTCCAGGCCCTCTGCCAGGCTGCTCTGCAGCTGGTCAGTCCCAAGCCTGTACTGGTTCAGATCCACACCCCCCCACCCCCAGGCCTTCTCTTCTTCAGGCTGAACAGTCCCAGTTCTTTCAGCCTTTCCTTGTATGAGAGGTGCTCTAGTCCCTTAATTGTCTTTGTGACCCTTTGCTGGACTCATGCCACTAAATGTGTCTTGTAGTGGGGAGCCCAAAACTGGAAACAGTACTCTAGATGTGGCCTCACCAATGCTGAGTAGAAGGGACCTGCTAGTGACACACCTCATAATGCAGCCCAGGATACTGTTGGCCTTCTTTGCCTCAAGGGTGCATTGCTGGCCCATGTTCAGCTTATTTTTCACCGGGATCTCCAGGCCCTCTGCCAGGCTGCTCTGCAGCTGGTCAGTCCCAAGCCTGTACTGGTGCCTGGGGTTATTCCTCCCTAGGTGCAGGACTTTGCACTTCCCTTTGTTGAACTTCAGGAGGTTCCTCTCTGCCTGTTTCTGCAGCCTGTCCAGGTCCCTCTGAATGGCAGCACAGCCCTCTGGTGTATCAGCCACTCCTCCCAGTTATGTATCATCAGCAAGCACGCTGAGGGTGTGCTCTGTCCCATCATCCAGATCATTAATGAAGAGGTTAAACAGTATTGGCCCTGGTGTTGACCCCTGGGAGGAACACCATTTGTAACCGATCTCTAGCCGGACTTTGTGCTGCTGATCACAACCTTCTGAGCACAGCGGGCTCCAGTTCACTGTATGTCACCTGCAATCAAGATACCACTCCAGAAGAGAGATTGGGGAGAAAAAACCTGAACTTTCCACTGCTTTCATTAGATGGTGGGGCAGGGAAACTTTTTTCATTTTTGCTTTGCTCCAGACCCCTTTTTATGGTAGTAATTATGAATGATTAGATAATGAATGAAGAGGTTTGCAACAGTAAGGTCAGCTCTTAAGAGGAAAACAAGTAATTGAGGTTAGAATTATCTCATGGCTACTGATACATGAGGTGAACCAGTATCCATGTTAACGTAATGGTTTGACATTGGATTCCTACCCTCAAATTGTCTGCTGCTTACACAGCAGTAGAAGACAAGTCCGTTTAAACCAAGGTATCAGTCGTCCAGAAGCATGGAGTCCTTCAGGAGACGTGAACCACATAACCAGTGTGTGGTGCGGAACAGATTTTAAAGCTGCAGTTCACAATCATTCTTTCCCATTCCCCCTCTCCCCTGAAGAAAAGTGGGGCCTGAGCAGATACGTACAGCATAATACTTTATTTTAAGAAAAAGCAAAAGCAGGAAGTTTGAGCCATGACAGTTGGAGATGGGGTTCTTGGAATCCATTTGAGTACATGAATGCTACTGATGACAATGTCATTTGTAGGAGCTTAAGTTAAAGGTTTTCCTAGCACACACAGTGCTGATCTCTGCAGTATGCGAGTATTATGCATGTCTTACATGCTGCTAGCATTTATATGCAAGAACCTACTATGGGGACCAACAAGAATTAGCACACTTGTACTCTTTGCAGTTGAAGAATTCATTAGCTTCTTGTATCATAGGTAAAAGAGGCATATCTTCTGTTGCATCCTTTTTGTTTAGAAGCATTGTCCTTTTGACTTTTTCGCATCCGTTTATGACTGCTGCAGAGCAAGGGCAATGAGTTCAGCATCACAAAGCTCAGTGGTGGTAACACCTTACACTGAGCTTCCCTGCCTCAAAGTGGTTAGGAAGGAAATTGTAGATTGAAATTGCTAACTTTGGGAAAACAATATCAAACTTCCTCTGAGCTGGAGTGAGATCTGTAATGCTAAATGAAAAATGCTAATAAAAATATTGTTACCAAGTGCCCAGGCAAGTGGCCTGCTGTTTCATTACAAAGTTCTGGAGTTGCTGCTAGTCGTCCATCAATGCCAGCAGAGCTGTATTTCCACCATATTTAACTTTTTGTTCTTGGGCAGGTGTATCCACAATTATGGTTAAAAACTTCACATATCGACCCTGTATGTATTTGACATGAAGATTGTGGAGACAAAAATGCACCCATTAATGAATTTTTTGAAGTTATTTATAAAAAAAAAGGCCTGAGTCATATGGCCAAAAAAAGTGTGTTGTGTAATTTCTTTTTCTTTTTTGCTGAGGTTCACGTGATTTATCGTGAAACGTAGGCGATGTGATTTTACTCAGTTTTGTGACTTCTGCAAAATCAAATGTCGTAGTTTATTTATGATAGAATCAGTCATTGTGAATTAACTGTTTCAGGAATCTGAACAGAATCTTTGGACTTAATCACAAAAGCAGAACTGTTGCCAACCAAATTATTTCATCTTAGAGAAGAAAAGTTTGACCCAATAATTATGCTTGCTTTTTCTTTCCCCCAGATAGTATCAGGAACAGCTAAGGTACAGAATACATGTGAATAATTGTAAAATATGCTATGGAAGTGTTTTATCATCCAAGCAAATGTGTTCTAAGTATAGCACAAGCCTTACTCTGAAAGAAATCCACGTAGTTAATGCATGAAAGTTCATAGAGAGAGCACTTAAACACCACAGTTGAATAATCCTGCAGTTATGATTAATTTATATTTGCGCATGTGTTATAAGCTTAGTGTTTTTAACAGTCAGTCTAGACTTTAAATGTCTATTTTTTTAAATTTTTTCCCCGTTGGTGTCACTCTAGAGCATAATTACAGATACAATTTCTCTGAACGTTTTTACTTTGTTTATTTCTTAAATGTATTTTCAGAGACAACAATTTTTGGCAGAAAACAGAAGAAAAGAGCTCTTGGAAAGGACAATCGTGGAGCTTGTTGAGTTCATTTCTCCTAAAACCCCTAAACCTGGTGAATTTGGTGGAAGGACATCAGGTTCAATGGCTTGGCGAGTAGCCAGAGGTGAAATTGGTTCAGAGGTATTTAACGTTTGAACTGGCAGCAATCTTAGAGGTAGCTAATTAGTGGTTCCCAAACTATGGTCTGCAGAGGAACAGTGGTTCATGAGGCAGTGGTAGGCAGTATAGATTCAGTTTAAACAGTAAAACTTGCAGAAACATTAGGTGGAAGACTGAAATTAATTCAGTAGAGGTTCGCAGGAAATTTTTGAGGGTTCATGGTGGTCCATTGGTTTCAAAAATGTTTGGGAACCGCTGATCTAAAGTGTGTGATCTGCACTTACAAGTTAAGGAAAAATATTTTTTTTTCTCCTGACTAGGTGCAGTATAAAAGAACCAGAAAGTTTTAAGGTAGTTGGATGATTTGGGGAAAACTTTTATAAATGTCTGTGTTTGTATTATTAATTAGTGTTGATTAAAGCATAGAAGCAGTTTTCAGTCAACTGTTGTTGCTGATAAAACAATGTAGGAGCAATTGGGATCATGTAAATGCAACTACTTTTCCTAAATATTAAATTAATTGATTTTCATGTCAAAGTTGCTGAGTATTTCAGAAAGCCAGGTTTATTTTTAATTCTTTTTATGCTACAATACAGTTTCCCAAAACCTCAGCCATGTTTAGCTTGAGCCAGCGTGCAAAGGTGTAACTTACCCTATCAGTTTGTGCATCAATTTTAACATGATCCTGTCATGTAGAATGACTGATAATCCTAAGTAGAACTGATTAGGTGAAATTAATAGGTTTCACAGCACTGTGTAAGTCTGAGAAACTAAGAGTTTATTTCAACTCTCCATAGTTTAGAAGATTTAATTTCTGTTTTGCTAAATCTCTTAGAACAATGACAAATCTTTTTAAAAAAATATAATTCCGTGGAGTTATGGAGTTTATACTTTACCTTTTTTGAAGCTGTTCTGCAAATAGTCATATACAAGCATCTATATATGATAATCACAGAATTATATTTGGTATTCAAAATAATCATGTTTGTTGTTTGTACAAGAAATATATTCAACATGTGAATTTTCTATTTTTAGCATGTTAGTCTCTTTTCTTAAATTTTCTAATTTTATGTTATTTTGTTAATAATTTAGTTGTAAAAAATAATGTCCAAATTTTAAAATGAATTTATATTTCTCTCTGGAAAAGGTTGAGTTCTATTGCAGAAAACTAGTATACGATTTTTGTTTTGCCAAAATGCTTTTATCAGTGGCATATCTTAAAAATCACAGTTTTTTTCAGTTGGCAGCAAGACTGAATTGTGAATTCTTGGCACGCTGATTAACAATAACACAGTCTTACTGAAGTATACTGAGAAATGAAGATGCTTGCATTTTTTGCCTTTTTCAGAAGAGAAAAGAAGTAATTTTTATTCCCTCTGAAAAAGAGAAGACATCTAAACTGTTCCACTTGGCCTACAATGTAGTAGAAGATAGTTATACACGGATTTCCAACAATAATGAAAAAATAACTGGCTGGGAAGCAGGTGTTTGGAAGGCAGAGTCTATCTGGAGGAAGGTTGAAACAGACTGGAAAATGGTAAGGGTAACAATTCCTAAAAGCCTATTATCTACCGTAAGAGTGTAGCAGCTCCCATAAAGTAGAAAATCCTTGCCTGTGTGTGGCATGAAAACCTCTCTCAGTGCTTATAAAATTTAGTTTAAGTTAGTAACTTTTACTGTTAAGCTTCAGATAAGGTTGCCAGTTGATATGAGAAATTGGAATTAAAGGTACCTTGCCTTTCAGCAGGTAATGAGTAAATTCTGTGCAGATAGCTAAAATCCCTACTGGGGCACCAAATTTAAAAATCTGGCTTGTATTTATGAAAAATAAATACATATTTGCAAAAAAGTTTAAAAGGGGTTTTCGGCTTTGGAGAATAGCCTTATAGTGTATCATATCTCTTTGATACACAGCCAAGGGAAGAAATATTAATCCTCAACATTATAGTTCCATTTGCAAGGAGGCAAAAAGCTGTCAATTTTCCAGAGTGTTGAATACTCTGCCCAGACTCCTTTCCATCTGTCAGGACACTGAGCAGCTGAAGAATCATATGCTGCAAATCGAAGAAGAGCAGAATTGATGCCTGTAAGACGGGAAAGGGTCATTTACTAGCAAACAGCTTTCTCAGCAACAGCTACCAACTCTAGGTCTGAGCGTCCCTGGCAGGGACTACAGCGTGCTATTGCTTTGTTCCGCTGTCATTTTGCTAGCCTGAAAAGTCTCTGACCAAACATTCTACTACCTTAAGCAGTGGTGTGCTTTCTGTTAACGAAAAATGAAGCTAACTATATAATTCTCTTCTAACGTTTCTGTGCTGGGCCTATATATAACTGGCTTGCAAAATATTATGGGGGAATAGCTTTTAGAGGTTATTGTCCCATAAAAAGAAGGAAGAAAGGAAGAAACTTGAGAATAACATAAAAAATAGTGCAACAGAGTAGGCTAATGGGCAGGGAGAAGTAATAAAAGAACAGAATAAGGGACAGCTGTTCCCTGGGTTCTGCTAAAACTGTGATAGCACATCATAACTTTAAGTCTCCAGTGATCAGTCATCCTCACTTTTGCAAGAAACATTTTGTCATTGCAGTGAAATCAATTACTAGTCTGCTGTTCTGCTCAGCTCTACTAATCAGATAAAACAGGGAGACGTTGATCTATAAGACCAGGCATTAAAGACTTTACCCTGTGTTCAACAGTGCCTCCATTTTTCTGGATAAATGATAAGAGAATGGCCTTGAGAAATTGGGAGCTACAGATCCAGGCATATCTCAGGCTTGTGGCTAAGACATGTTAGTTCTACAGGAATAACATCTTTTACAATGCTGTGTATGAGTTTAAAAGTAGTTTTGTTGGGGACGTTTTTTGTATTCTGAGAGGCAGCAAAGGGAGAGGCTGTTTGGAGTTTGCGTGTTCCTTCTTTTTTTAAGACCTTGAGTAGATCTGCAAGGTACAGTTTTGGGTTTTGATTCAGCAGCTACGCGAGAACCCTTCCAGCCAAAGGAGCCTTAACAAAAATGTTTTGTGTATCATTTAGTATGTGATGAGTGGAAAGGAAATTACATGTAAAAGCCGCAGTAACGGTAACTATAGGTATTAGCCCAAGAGTGACAGAAAAGAAGTATCAGTTATGTCTTCTGTCTTTGCAGTGTCATTGACCAAAATGTTTCAGGGAGCACGCGTCTTCTGATTTTCTTAGCCAACCTGGTAGCTGTATTCTCCGTTGTATTTATGTATTTCCTTGCTATAAATAAATGTCTCCCAGCTTTATGGTATAAGACCCAAACAGCTGCAAAACACAAATTTAATGGGACTGGTTACCTAGAATAAGTTGTCATTCAGGCTAAAACAAGCAGACCACAATAGGTGTTATAAGAACTTGTAGATCTAAAATCCGCGTATTTTAATTTAAAAGCTTGTTTTCTGGAAAAGTTCCTCCCATGGAAGAGAATTTGAATGAGAGTTTGGGGGATTTTTTGTATTTACTGGATTTGGACTTTTGGACTTTTTTCCAGTAATACTAGCAAAAGATTAGCCACACGTAACACGTAGAGAAGAGTCAAAAAGACACAAAAGGAAACTTCTAGTTCTGTTTTTCCAATTAAATGCTTGGATGGTATAATGGAAGATGAGCCAGGCCAATGTGTTAATTTTTATCCCCAAAAGCCTATGTTTAATGCACCTTGACCAAATAGTAATAAATGCTGTGTTCTTAGCTTCATTACAGAAATATGACAATTCAGCAGATGCTGATCAAAGGAGCTCTCTTGCTAGAACTAGCTGAGATATTTTAAAAATTGCATGGAGATTAGCAGTTTCATGAACCTTAAGATTATATTGACACGAAAGCAGGTTAAATTGTTACATTTCCCCAGGAAGGTTTTACACTGCTTAGTGTATACCTCTGGGGTTTTTTCACCTTTCTTTAGCGTGAGAATTAACGTTTTTATTCCTGGTGAATAGAATACTAACGTTCTGTTTTATAGTCTGTGGGTGAGGTTTTCCATATTAGGATGGGATCTTTAATAAAACGTAATACTGTATTATTACCACCTTATCCAGAGTTGTTCTGTCCAGATTAAAAACTAAAGAGCTATCAAAGTCCATTTAGCGTGACATTAATCAGAAGCGTGGGTGTGACAGTAGAATTTTGATAACAATTTCCTTAATTAAGGATTCCAGAAGGATCATGGCAGTTTTGACCCTTAAAGCTGTAATGCCCGTTATATTGGTTTGCTGATAAGGGATGCTAGACTTAAAAGTGCCACCAAAAGCTTATTATAAAAGTGTATGAGGGTTCATAGTAAGTCTTTAATGGATATTAACATATGAATTTGACTGTTCAGCCAATTGAAGTTTACAACAGCATCGAGACTCTATTAAATTACGCAAATCTCTAACAGCTTACATAATGTTATTACAGGAGTTATATATGGCTAGCATGTACTACAATTTGGTTTAACCTAGGCATGCTGAGTCCTAGGAGAAGTGGTGTGCAACCAGCTGCCTCATCTGAAGAATCGAAAATACTTGGTGGCCTGATTGCCCTGTACTGCTGCTGAAAAACTGTGTAGCCAAAATGAAACGGAGTGTGTGGCACTGTATATTTATATAAAAAAACAACTCTACCTATTTAAAATAATGAACTTAGTTATTTTTTTGGCTCAATATTTACAGAGCATGTTGAAATAGTCTGCAGTGTTCCCTAGTGAAGGACTATGACTTATATACATCTGCCTAAATACAAAATAGACTTACGGATACAGAAGCAAATTGTATACAAAATTGTACTATATATAGTTTTGCTATTTCAGTGGCTTTATAAAAATAAAAGTGTATTATCTTAAGATTTGACATGCTTTTTGCACTGATTAATTAGATGTGTCTTGATCATTGCATTTTTGACATACTGACTATGTCTTCTTTCCATTTAGGTTTATTTAGCCCGAAAAGAGGGGTCATCCTCTGCTTCCATCAGCTGGAAGTTTGAATGTAAGTCAGTCGGTCTAAAAATAGATAGCATGTCAATTAGGACAAGCAGTCGGACATTTCAGAGTGGAAGAATAAAGTGGAGAGTGTACTCCCCCACAGCAGAAATTGCTCTGTTAGGAGGTAAGTATGGAATTAAAAAAAAAAAAAAAAAAAAAAAAGGAGTAATACCATGCAACTGCAAAGAGTAGTTTATACAGGGAGTGCAGTGTGTAAATACTAAAAATAATAAAAAGGCAAATGCATTTTGACTTTTCCTACTCAGTCTTTCTTACTCAAGTCAAGAAACTATTATGCATTTTATCAAAATTGATACCAAAAGAACTGTTACAAAACCCAATTTTATTAGTATATACAGCTCCACCTGGCACAGAGCAGGGTTAGCAAGAACACAGAGTGGATAGAAGTTTTTTATGTTTTTTTACCAGGAAGGACAGATGTTTGGATGTGCGATAGCTTCAGTCTTGACTAGGTCCTTTGAGCATTAGCACTGCACAAATATTTAAAATTTGCAGCTGTATTTTTTTGTGCCACTGAGTGATAGATGAATTTGAATAGTTGTAACAGAGATCCCTAATACAAGTTACCCTTAAACATGCATTCTAGCATTAGATGCTTTCTGGAGCAGAAGCTTACTTGTTTGTTTGTTTTTTCCTCCAGTAGATAAAAGTCTTTGCTCCTATTCAGACTTTTCGGGTGCAACAGAAGTTGTGTTGGAAGCAATCCTAAATGGAGGAGATGGTGAAGCTGCATGGCAACACACCCAGCTGTTTAGAGAGAGCTTAACAGGAGATGGAGAAAATTGCTTGGAGATCATTATAAAACTCGCTGACCTCTGAGAACCAAAAAAAGAGATGTTCTTTGGATTCCTTGAATACGTTATGCGATGGATACAACGCGAAGATTTGGATGGCCATTCCCATTCATCCTGCTGGCAGCTTATGTCCTGTTTGACACCTTCCATGTAACCAGCTTGAAACTGCACGTGTATTGAATAGGTAAACATCACAATGAAAACCTTTTTCACTTTAAAAACAAATGCCAAAATCAAGGGATTGAAAGATTAAGGTAATACCTCTTTCCTTATCTATAAGGAAGAGGAAACAGTTTTTAGAAAGCAACATACAATCATAAGAGAAATTTTGATTTGGAGTTTTAGGATTGCTTTGTTGTTTTTTGTAATCTGCTGTTTGGAGTTACTGTTGGAGTTCCATTTTTTGGTAGATCACAACAGATGCATTGTGATTTTAAAACATTTTAATAGACTAATAGAAGACTTGCTTAGGTATTTTTAAAAAGATGATTTTATGTAATAAGCAGAAGCTGCCATTGAGATAAATATTTAAGCAATCTTAAAATTAGTTTGTTATATATATCCAGCTAGTGTTTGAAAGTATGATGGTGTAGGAAAATAAAGTAATTTTGAAAGAAGTGTTCATTATGTATCTAAAATTTTGTCATAGCCTGCAATATGAAATAGAGATTTAAAACTGGATAAGAATATCAGATTTTTTTCTATGAAAAATAGATTGTCTTGCATATTTTTGTATGATATAAATTCAAATTTGCCCAACTTTTAAATGAAACAATTTATTGAGCCTGTAGATTGAAATAACTTTTTAAGCTATTGTCTTGAGTTGCTTTGAATGCTATTCCCAAATTTGATGTAAAAGTATATACAATTTCTCTGTTCTTTAGTACAGTGTTTAAACATCTTTGCATTGAATAGAAGAAAAACTACCACCCAGGGGGTCAAATTTTGATTCCAGGTCAGATGTAGCAGCACTGTGATTATAGTAATCACCTATGGAATGCTCAGATTCTCTTCATCAGAGAATTTGAGGAAAACTGTGGCTGGATCGTAGAAGAGATTTTATATTATAGGACTATAACACAAAGTTTGAACTGTAGTGTTATTTTAAAATAAGTGAAAATTGGGGATGTTATTAAGGTTTGTGTATTTAAAGCTTTTTTTTCTTCTTTTTTAACCCTTCCAAATATTGCATTGATTTGAAATGATTATTGAAAATAATTTACATTGAAATAAATGTTTGCTGACCTTTCAACCAATCCAAGCATATATAAGAATATTCAGGTTTCATTAGGAATCCACATATGCACAGTGTACATAAGCATCCAAGTTATACCACAGACATCTTAAAAAGTAGTTATTTTGGCAACTCAGGAGTGATTGATTATGTATGATAGATTATATGCTTTGCCTCAAATGTAAATTGACAGGTTATGAGGGTTTGAAAAGAGCCGGTCCCACTCCCTTAGTACAGAACACTTCAGTGACAGGGAACTGTATGGAATGGTATTGATCTGTGCTGATTAATACAAAATGAATTTGCCAACATCTATTCAAAACGTCTCCTGTATTTAGTTTTAGCCAAGTCTAGTTCTGAGATTTTGGAAGGGAACCCAACAGAAGAGTATTTTAGAGTAGCTGTATACTATATTGGAAATAGGAAATAGGCCCCAAAAAACCTTAGTGACACAAATCAATAAAATAACTTGCTTTGTAATTTATATAGTTTAAAAAGATATTGCTTTAAGCTAGAAATTACTTTTATTTTATTCCTTAATATAGTAAAATAGAGGACTATTAGGAGTTGCAGAACAGCTTAACTGCGTTTGGTAATTTGAAAGCAGAAGGCAGAATAAGTTTAACAGTAGTAAGATGAAAGTAATTTTCACACAATTTTGGTCAGAATCTCTAGGGGGAGAATATAGCTGCAGATAACTTAGTTAAATCATCTCCTCTCAAACACTGCGGTAGTTAGAACCCATTATTAAAATGTTTGAGTGAATTAAAAAGATTGAAAAATGCTTCACCAATCTAATTAATCAACAAATATTTCTGTACTTGTAAGATTACATGCAATGAGAAAGTGCTTATGTTAGGAAAGAAATAAATGAGCAAAACCCAATGAATGAATAAACCTAATCGGTAAAAGTTAAATGGAACTCCTCAGGTTTCTTTTGGAGTACTTTCTGTACAGTGACTATTTTGAATCTCTTTGTGCATAAACTATTTAAAAGGCACTTATTTTTCCGATCTGTATTTCAGTGCAACTCAAATATTAATGATTTTTGAAATTAATGTTTTAAACCAGAGGTGGTAGTTCTGACAGTTTGCTCTGTTTCGTCAATGTTTGCTCAATAATAAGTTGAAGTATCCTGAATTTGCAATATTATATAGGGGAGAGATCTGTGCCGTGATGTGCATTAAATGTGTGGATATTAAGTCGTGCTGACAGTGATATATGTTACTGGTTAAGTTGTTGGAGATATTCATCAGAGCTGAAAATCAGTGCTTACTCATCATCTTAGCAGTTTGAGGAAGGGCGGTTAGATGAGAAAAGAAAAAAATATTGTTTCCTAGAAATGTACGGCTTAATTTTAGTGTGGGTAAAACCATGCTTTCTAGAATTTGATGTAGTTTGGTACAGTTTAAAGAATTACCAGTTGTCCAGTGTGCCAGAGTTGCCTTCCAGAGTTTCACTAAGAGGTAGTGGTGGAAGCTTTTCAAACAAGTTTTACATAAGTACTAAATAGTCTGATTAATGCTTGCAAACTAGTTTTGGGTTGCATGGTTTCCAACAGGATTATGTGATAGCCTGCATGAAGAATTCCTCCTTTCAGAGAAATATTTGTTTTACTGCACTGTTGTCTCTTTGCAGTTGATCATATAGATGTTTATTTCTTGGTATCCTGTTTTGACTTTGAATGCTACACACACAATAGCAACCGCTAGTGGCAACCAAAGAAATCGTAGTAGTGGTTCCCTACAACACAGAAGGTTCCTGGGAAAATGTATCATTGAAACATAGGATATGAAGAAAGCCTGTTGTAGGCAGTGTAGAGAGAAAGCACAGATATACAAGAATCAAGTGAGCAAACCTTAATAGAAATGATATATTTGCAGTGAGAAGTAGGTAATGAAAATTATCACCTATATGGTGATCTGTCACCTTTACTCATCAGTCATCCACAAAAGGTTGTTCATGTATAATGGCTTAGACTTGAGATATAATCCCTGTTAGGTGCAACATCAGGAAATGCAGAACACGGAAAATAAAATATGTTTGTCTCCATAGCACAGTGGAATGAAAACAGATGGTAGGCAGCACATATGGCTGCCAGAAGCTGGGAACACCCATTTGCAGAGTTCTTCCAACTTGAAACAAAACAAAACAAAACAAAGGAACTCCAAGGGGGACAGATTATGCCAGGCAGATAGCAGGATTTCTATCTTCTTCCCCATGCTTACATTCCCCATGTCTTTACCTTTAGCGCTTAAGCTAAAAGGGGGAGTATGACACCAATTCAGAAATGAATGTACCTTCTTAGTATTTAATTTGTCAAAACTTAGCATTTGTTGAACACAGACATATTTTTAAAAAATGTTTAATTCCCACCATATGTTCAAACCTCTGGTTTAGGACCAAGTGTTAAGATTTTGCCAGTGTCCTACAGGCAGTTCAACGTACTGTAAATGTGTCATGAATGTTAAAAAGCTTTGGTATTGTTACTTCATGTCATGTGGAGGGTCAGGAAGCAACTTACAGACGGGTGACTTCTGATAACGCTCCCTATGTGTGTTCATCGGAGAATCTTAACATCTCTGGGATTGCCCTAGATAACCAGTTGCTTTATGCTCTGAGGTATTTCCTTAAACGGAGCTACTGGAATTAACCTAGATCCTATCTGTACTTTGAATACTTTTAAAAAGTTGTTCAGCATTATTGGTATAAGTTCAGCTTGCTTTGTGCTAGCTCTCCAGATCCTTGTATGGAGTGCTCTTCTTGCCAGCAGTGCTTTACATCTTGCACCTTAGGGCTTCTCTGTTATTGTTTAATAGTCAGTGATATTTTGTTCACTGATGGTTGCTCAGGTAGTCAGCATTTTCAGTTCGGGTAGGATTAAAGGGTGTTAGCAGGACTAAAATATCGTTTTATGCTAGTCTTGAATACTTAACCCAAACCAGAAGGATGACAGTAGAAGTACCAGGTCATTAGTTGATTGGCACAGTCTCTTCTTCCCTGAAGTTACTAATTTCAGGGAGCAACAAGGAGCTACAGCAGCAGAATTTTGAGACCTCCCAGCCTATAATATGGTGCTTAGGAATGGCAGCGTAACAAGCCAAGGTCAAACAGCCCCAAGCATTTGTATTTCAAGTACATAGATACTGTGAAACTTGTAATAGCTAAATGTGACTCTGTCTGCCTTTCTGAAGAAAGTAGGTTTTTTTTTCCCTTGTTTAGATTTCTATGTTTATTCTTGGGCTTGTTCTTTTATTGTAAGCTTTGTAATGAAAGTATTAGCTTGGTCTATGATTAGCCTGCTTCAGTTTCTGCAGCTTTATCTTTGTCTACACATTTCCATCTAACTTAAAATATATGTTAATTGTTTTTAGTTTATATAGAGCATTGCAACTATGTGGAAAATATACTAAAACAAAAATCAAGCTATTTTCTTTATTTTGTTTGGCAAGAGCAGACAAAAATGACAGATGAAAGATCAAACTCAGCAAAAAAGCAACAGTAATTAGAATTGATGAGACCCATAAACCAGCAAAAATAGCATGACTTAATAACGTTTAATGGAGAAAGAAAATGTAATGGACTACTTATGAGCTAGTACTAGCAAAAGTAACTTTCTTGACTGACTGTTTTTTAGACCTTTTCAGATTTGCTCATTTATATTTAGCTCACTTCGGAAATATTCAGTAGAATAAAATATTCAGTGATTTTTTGCAAAGCAGTCTAAGATTTAAGGTGTATCCATTTTTATATAATTCTCTTTTTTTAATTTTTTTTAGTATTTTTACTTGTCTAAGCTGTTATTTTAAAATTAAGCACAGGCTTTTACTGCTTGGTATAGATGTATTAATTTATTTGTTCCAGTGAGTAATCTGGATCTTTGATTTTGGAAAAATATGTTTAGCGACCTATTGTAACCAGTAGTCTTAAGATTTTTAATTAAAGGAACATTACCAGTAATGATTATGAGATTTCAGTGACCAGCACTGAGCACTGACAAAGAGACTTGAAGGACTGAGTCTAAAGAATCATTTGCACGCGTCTGCTCTGCAGCTTAAGTGGCTAGCCATGGCCCTGCTGGATCTTATAATTGCGGGGGGATAAACTATTTCACTATTTATTTTGAATGTATATTTCAAAGTATATTCTGTTAATTTGGATCTTTTTGTTACATAATGTTGTGTTATTATCATTGCATGTTCTTCGAACTTCAGTGCTATGATTTATATCTCCCATATGCTTGAAGTCCCAGGGGAACATATTTAACATTTCTCAAAAAATGAAAATCATCCACTAGCAGCTCACCTCTGTCACAAGCAGAAGGAAATACTGGGTGTATTTTAGATACGCACTTCATATAGCGACATACAGACTGCCTTCTGA